CAATGAAACAGTATACTAAAAAAGTTTGAATCCCATTTGTTCCCCCCCCCCCCCCCCCCCTAAAACTACAACAAACCCATCTATAAATAATTTGCTCCATCACACGTTTAAGGGGCTGACTTTTGGAGAGAGAAAATCATAAAAAGAGAGAAAAGAAAACTGTGAAACCTTTGTAAAAATCCAGAATTTCCAAACAGAAAACCAAAACTTTTGTGCTTCCCTTTGAGTCAAAGAACTTGGCATACTCTCTTTTGTTGCTCTTGCTGACTCCAGAACATCTGAAGGCAGCAGTTCAAGTTCCAAGCCCACGCTCTAGGTTCAAGGTAAGTCTTTCTAACTTTGCATCTTTTCATTCAGAACATCATTAAAACATGTAAATATCACAATATTAATGTTGTTCATATCATTACATAAGTAGGAAAACTGTGGATCAGAACTTCTTGATTAAGGCTAGACTCAGAATTAGGATTAGAACTTCTATAAATTGATGTGCTTTTATCCTTCTGATTTGCTGTTAAGGACTGAATAAATTGTTGATGTGCTGATTAATATGAGAAAAGAGTTGAAATGTAACACATAACTTCTGTTTTTCATTCACCATTTTAACACACATAATATCTAGGATTTTCTCACTGTTTAAGCACACAGAACTTATGAGTTCTCTTTACACGTTAAACACACATAACTTCTATGCTTTCTTACTGTTTTAACACAGAACTTCTGATGCTCACTCACTGTTTTAACACACAGAACTTCTAGGCTTTCTTACTGTTTTAGCATAGAACTTCTGATGCTCACTCACTGTTTTAATACTGCACAGAACTTCTGATGCTCACTCACTATTTTAGCACTGCACAGAACTTCTGAGTTCTCCCTACACGTTAAACACACAGAACTTCCAGGATTTCTTATTCTTAAGCACAATGAACTTCTGATGCTTCTGCTCGCTATTTTAACACTCAGAGTTTCTGATTTTTCACACGCTGACAACACACTGAATTTCTGATGTTCACTCACTATTTTAGCACAATACAGAACTTCTGACTTTTGGCTCACAGTCTGAATACCACCAAGAACCTCTGTTTCCTTTCCCTCTGACATTTCTTGTAGGGCCTTAGAGTATATCAATCCAGAACTTCTGATTCCACTGACGTTCCTTTTTGAGTTACAACGCGCCTGACTTCAGAACTTTTGATCCTTGTTGTTTTGCTTGCAGCAGCACGCCGTTTCTATCTTTCATTTATTTTCCTTTTATCATTTTCAATATTAATACTCTTTTTATTAATATAAAAAAGATATGAAAATATTTTCTTTTTACTAACTAATTTATTTCCTCTATTAAAATCCATTAAGACAAAAAAAACATTTTCTAAACAAAGTCCTTTTTCTTTCTTACGTTGTACGTTTTAATATGTTTTGTAATAGTTAAATAGGATTTAAATTCTTGCAACCCCCCATTTGTGAAATATGTACCCCCTATCCCTAAAATATTGTAATAGCGTAGGACTTTTATATTTCCGCAATTTAACGCTTTTCCAAATATCAAATGCTAGTAATTAGGATGTGTATGACAAGATATGAAATCAACAAATAGATAACCCTAATCAAGACTAAAATACATGCAATCAAACACACTTGCACACTAGCATCCTTAGGGTAATCCCACCTTGTTACCTATTGGAAAACTAGTCATGTCCCTCGAGAATGAGCGTTTTAGCAAAAGACCCTCTATAAAAGATCGTAGTCCCTCGATGACCCTCAATGTTGCCTTCGGTAAATGATTTAGTCCCTAAAACGACATTGCTAAAGCGTCCCATAAGTTACCTTCTATGACTATACAAAAACGTTTCGTGCATATCCCTTCACATCCAACGATGAGGCTTCTTACCAAAACAATGGTAAAGATAGTAACATCTAAAGGAGGAGGAAAAGAACACTAAAGACCTTTTGAGTAGGTAGATTTGCTCCTAGTTGCTCGCTTGCTCACAACAAAAATATTTTATACACCAACACTCTCATTTTGAAACATTTTCAAAAGACAACACTTTGTACGCGTTCTTATAGAAACGAGAGCCATTACAAAGACACCCTTTTCAAAATCACTTTCAAAAAACACATTCCACAAACACCTCTTTGAACTATTTTGAAAACAACACTTTGTACGCGTTCTTATAGAAACGAGAACCATTACAAAGTCATATTTTCAAAATACTTTCAAAACTGACATCACAAAGCACATTTCAAACAAAGCAAGTAATCTAGCAAGCAACTAAGAGCCCATGGAAAACCATGGATGAAAGAGGTGCTAACACCTTCCTTTTTCATAATCTACCCCCTGAACTCAAGAAAACATCTCTAAAAGTCTTTTCTGTGCTTTTTCACCTTTCCTTATTGGATACAAGAAAAGTCAGTGGTCACTCTTGCTATCTGCAACATTTACGATCAAACGCAAAACAAAAGTCACTTCTCCCACCGTATCACAGTAGTGTATGCTTGAATCGAAGTAGGCATAAGCTACTAGGTGGTAAATCACGTGATACTGATGGACTGGGTTCCACTGGACTACCGTTGCGATGTGCTTATGAGGTTCTTAAAAGGGAGTTTCCCATTTGACCTTAACATACCAACATTATCGATATGTTGTACACACCTGAGCTTCCATTGTGATATGCTTGTGAGGGTCTTAAAGGGCGTTTACCACTTGACATTAACATATCAACGTGATTGGTATGGTGGGGTTCTGATGCCATGTAGGAAATATCACTTCCGACTCACCTCTAGTGATGCCATGTATGTAACATCACTAGGTTTTCGCCTGACGGGCTTGTGGAGTCATGTAGGCGTCATTGCACTTGAGTTCCAGATTATGTTCTGACGTGTTCACACATGCGTAAAGATGATTGACAGAGTCATGATGTCACATAGGCAATATCACTTCATTAACTCGTCATGGATGGGATTGTGTAGCCAAGTTAGAAGTCAATTACTTTCGACTCATCTGATTCTTCGTACGGTATGTTTGTGCAAGTCTCTTGACGCTAGGCAATCGTGATTCACCGAGGATGAGATTGTGTGGCCTAGATAAACATGCATATACTACTTCTAGATTCCTCGTACATGGATACGGGTATGCATACTTGGTTGTTTTGATATGTTTGTGTGTTTGGTGCTTTGCATTGGGTAGTCAAGAGACTTTCAATTGTGGTGCTATGTGTTGTTGTGTATTCTTGTACCTGACCGTGTGGAAACCCCAGATCAATGGTGGATTCGTTTTTATGTATGTATTCTATAGAGCCTAGAGGACCCTTAAGATAGGGGAACTCACTAAGATTTAGTAATCTCATCTCAATCCTATTATCATTTTTCATGCACATGTTAGAAGTAGAAAAATTGTTAGACGGTCTGTATTGGAGACTGTAGATGAACAAATGGCGGGAAGACCTCATCAGATTTTATATTTCCACTATGCATTATTATAGACAAACCTATTGTATACAGCCGTAGCTGAAGAGTTGAATTGTATACGATTTTAATTTTGTTAATTCCAACTTTTGTATGTTTTCATGTACCATATTATATCATCACTACATATTATTCTTACGTATATGTACGGAGTGTTACAATTAGGGTAGCGCCTGATCAATAAAAATCATGTTTTACAAAGGATAATCAATTATACCTAAAGGATAATAGATTATTTCACTCTAACACCTATAATCAAATGAAGAAGCCTCTAATTGATCGGTAATTACTAGAAATCAAAACTTTCCATTTAGGGTGAAATAATCAATTATGGCCATAAGATAATCAATTATTTCATTAAAAATCATGTGGATCACTTTTCTTTTTTAGCTACATTTTCTTTTGTATAAAGTAGACTTCTCATTTGAAATCAAACCAAAATTTGAGTTTCTACTATCTCATTCTATTTTATTACTTTCCTAATCTCTAATATTTTTCTCTTACTAAAAATTGTATTATTGTCTAATGAATGGAAACTGTTTGAGAAAAGTTTTATACTATTGTCATGCTTTGTTTGGTTGATTAAACAATGCGATTCACTTGAAGGTTATACTTTTGTTCTAGAGATAAACCTGTTAAAATACCTATTTAGTTATAGAGCTTAACCCATTAAAAGTTTTGTTAGATTCTTAAGAGTTGTCAATAAAATTTCAATTTAGTTCGTAAGTCCAATAAAAGCTCGTGTTTAGTTAAGGGCATTAACATTCGTAAAATCTCTCGATATACTTATAACAAAGGTTTGTGGACACAACTTATAAAAGGTCAAGTTTTTATTAAAAATCTTAAAGATAAATTTTGTATAACAAAGATTTGTGGGCATAACTTGTAAGTTACTCAGTCCAAATTGCATCTCGGATAACTTATGGGTAAGTTAGAACAAAAATGAGATTAGGTAACAGTTAAAACTGTTGCAATTGGCTTATTTGGTGTATATAATTTTCTAATCAAACTAATTCATTTTTATTCATTTTTGGCAATGGTTTTTAAATGTGTTCTTTCCACTTACGGCAACGGTTTTTAAATGTGTTCTTTCCACTTACGGCAACGGTTTTTAAGTGCGATTTATTATGTCCTTGCAAAATATTAAAAAAACTTATAACTAAGTTATCCGGTGGACAAAAGAAAAACTACCGAAAAATTTAACAATGAACAATATGATATTAGCATAAAACTTATGACCAGTGGCAAAGTCAGAATTTTTTTTAAATCTGAACAAAAATTTAAAAACAAAGACAGCAAATTCACATAAACTAAACCATAAATAATGGAACTCCGAAAAGTGAGAATTAAAAAACATAGGCAAACAAATTTAACATCCAATGCAAGTGAGAGTATACAAATTCAGACAGGAGTAATAAGGAGAAAAGTAGCCGCCGCTTACCTTCACTTGAAGCCTTAAAAACTTGACATAATTCACAAATTGTAACCGATAAACGCTCTTCAAATATCACACAAAGCAAAAACAATATTTATGTAACTTACTGTATTTCTAGGACATGCCAAGCAGATACGATCAAGATAAGAACATATAGCAAGCGGAACTCCGTTCTAAATAGTTGCACAAACCACTCGGAACTGCCACATTTCATTTTTATCATCAAGATTGATGTCATCACAATAATTTCATCGCGGTTATTGCCAAAGCTACTGGTTGCTAGCTGTTCAAGATAATGCACAATTAATTCTTTGAAAGGTGAGATTTTTTTAAAATTATGATCCTAACTTCGAACATAATGTCATTGTACTGTAAGTTGAATTTAGCATGTTATCTAGGTTGATCCAATAAAAGTAAATAATTAGCTAATGAAAAAATAACTATGATCAAACTGACATTTTTTAAGAAGTGTTGTATCTAGTCTGAATTGTAAATGAGATACATTAAGATTTAGTTTATATTTCAATTTAAAACTTAGTCTCGTTCAACAATTGTCTTTAAACCAAAAGTAAACTCAAAAGTCGTAATTTCTTGAAAATGCTAAACTCAAAAGTAATACAGCAACTATCATTATACCAGAAAAAATCTAGTCATTGAGCATTTAGTTAGTGGCAGTACTAGAATGCTCTGGAAATTTCTCAATGGCATACACCAATAATTCAACTACCATTCTTCTAAAAACAATTGTCAATGAAAAGAAATCAACAGTTTTTCAGATATTTTTGCACATTGAACAAAACTACTAAGATTTCTCTAAATTAAGCAAAACTCTTCAACACTGAAATGACCCTTAAAGAATAAACACTGTGAATTCTTAACACTGTTTATAGTTAGGATCCATTCCAATTAAATTATTTAGATTAGATTATTGAGACCTTCTTTCCATAAAATTAATGCATGCTCATTTTCCAATTCAATTTCTTACTAATGCTAGCTACATCAGAATATCAAACCTTTTCTTACACTGCCAATTAAAAACCATGATTAATATAATTCAAACGGATAATATTTTCTAATAAATATCCTCTATAGTTGACTAACACTAACAAATTTTATACCTGCAACTTTGGGAAGTTGACGCCAATTAGCATGACCATGTCTCTGAATGTGAGCAATAAGCATTTGAAATTGATTCTCTTCCTCACTCCACGGCATCACCAAGTTGCCGTACATCAAGAAAATCAAAAAAGATTTCAAGACAGATAAATAAAAGATTTAGTTGAGTCATTCCATCGAACACTTGACATGCAAGTACGAAACGGTAAATAGTTAGGAAATTTGACACCGATTGGCAAATCAAAATTGAACAACAATCACACAGAAGCAATCAAAGAAGAGAGAAGAAAGAAGAGTGTAATCGATAGGATCTTCTATTTGGCGGTGGTGAATTTGCGGTAGTATCTTTCGAGAATCGAGTTAGAGAAAGAAGAAACCAAACCACACTGAGATAGAGGAAGGAAGAGTCCAGACAGCTGTCCGTCCTCGCCGGACATTGGCTTCGCCCATGCTTATAACCAAGTCATTTGATAAAAATTACCAAATAACTTTTATGTAAGTTATACGCTACATATAATTCTTCTTGATTGTAAGTTATCTGATGAAGAGAAACTGCATACTCAAATTTCTGAAGTAACATTCTTTGGTACATTGGTGTAAGGGTATCAAAATTTCCAATTAAAATAAATTAATTATAAATAAAAAATATATATAATTAGAATATTTTAAAAAATATAGGGGTGGGAGGATAATTATTGAGGTATAAGATAAATTTTTCCATCTTAAGTTTTTTAACCAACAAAATATCATGATAAATTAAAAGATATTTCCTCTGGTTCTATTTATAAGATACTGTTCTGGACCGGGCCCGACATGCCCAATAGCATTAATAAGGCCCAATCCAAACGGACTTGCTGAGGGCCACGCCGACCAAAGGGTCACAGTCATGCCCGACGTGCTCCTTGAGGTTGCTTGCTCGACCTCCAACTGTCCAGCTCGACATCCTACTGTCCAGCTCGACATCACCTCGAGCACCCCAACTAGGGCAGACTCAGTCCACTGCACTCCCAACGAGACCCCGAAAAGACCGCGTCTCTGTCCGCCCGCACTTCACGCAGAACATCCAGGGAGGGAACCACGTGCGGGTCCCCACTACGCACGTAGAACCTGGCAGTTCCTCCATTGGGCCAAACCTGCCCCGCCCAATGAAGGAACCTTGGCCCAGCGCTGGGGGCTATAAATACGCTCTGTTTCCAGAGGGTCAGGTATTCATCATTCTACCCATACTTACTATTGCCTGCTCGTGCTCTTACTTACTTCAGCATCAGAGTGTCTTGCAGGTACCCCCCCCCCCCCACCTCGTTCAAAACTTTCAGCTCGGAGCCAACCGTGACGGTCCAAGTCTGATCAGGTCAGATCAGTGGCGCCGTCTGTGGGAAACTAGCTTCCCCGTCTTACAAACAAATCAAAAGACCAAAGCTCATATTCAACTACCTGTCATGGCTGATCCAGCTCGCGATGAGCAGAACGTCCGTGTCGCCGACACCAATAACGGCACGGCGGGCAAAAATGGACATCTCGACAACGCCGGCAATCCCGACCACACCACCATTCCTGCGACAACCGCCCCCGGAACTTCCTCATACAGGGACGGGGCTACTGCATCATCCTCCTCGCTCCCACCACCACTCGAGGACGACCCGGCGGCCCTCGCCCACTACAGAGCCGCCCGGTTTCAGGAAGTCCCCGTCCCCTCCGGGGCGGATGCCACCACACAAGCGCTGTTCGCAGCAATTAATCAAACGAACTATCTCATCTTCGCCCAAGGAGAGAGATTAAAGGCGCTTGAAGACGAGCGAAGACCCCCGAGGAGGCATCGGAGACCACATACTCCCCCTCCTCGAGTGACTGAAGCTCGACACCCTTCTCCCCCGCAGAGACACTACAGGGAAAACTCTCGAAGCCCATCTCCCCGGCCAAAGCAGAGGCGACCCTATTTGGAGAGAGAGCCCGTCATCCCTGCCGGAGAACCCAGTCGCGACCCGGTAAGGCACGACAAGAGACACGCCGGAGACGGGCGTGTAACATTCAACCAACGAGCATCACGCTCGAGGGAGACTCAGCACGACCACCGTGCCAGACAATACTACAGGTCCCCATCTCTGTCTCCGGAGAGGAGCGACGAGGACGACCCCCGCGGTCCCCTATCGCAGGCCATCATGGATGCACCCATCCCCCCGGGCATGGAGAAGCCCCCACATCTGAAGGAGTACGATGGAGTCGCGGACCCGGTCGACCACATTGACGGGTTCGAGGCTATGCTCCATTATCATAATGTCGGGGGGCCCATCAAGTGCCGTCTTTTCCCCACGACTCTCAGGAAGGCGGCCATGGACTGGTACAAAGGGCTCGCCCCGGGCTCAATCACCTCGTGGCGGAACCTGAAGAACCAGTTCATCAGTTCCTTCACCGCTTCTCGACGCCATCCAAAGACCGAGGCGGCGCTCGAGGCCATCATCCAAAGACAGGATGAGACCTTAAGGGAGTTCATCAACCGCTTCAACCGAGAAGCGATACAGGTCCCCTGCACGGACCACATGAAGAGATATCTGCTGGAGAGGGGGCTCCTCCCCGGCACAGAGTTCAGAAAAGCCGTGGGAATCGAGCCGCCCAGGACTTTCGACGCCCTCCTCGAAAAAGCTCGGGCATACATGGATTACGAGGAGAGGGAAGCGGCCAACAGGGACCGAGACTCCAGGACTCGGGGTCCCAACAACAGCAGCTCGCGCCAAGAGGCTCCTCCTCGACGAACCGGGGAGAAAAGGAAAGAAGACAGACCCCGGGAAGTCCGGGAACAAAGGGGCCCCTCGGGCCGTTTCACCGAGTACACTCCGCTCACAGCTTTCCACGAGCGTATTCTGGCGGAGTGTGCCAGTACAGATTTCAAGGACGGCGGCGTCAAGCGTCCCCGACCTGCTCCGCCAAGCCCGGGGCGGACAAAAATAAATACTGTCAATACCATAGGAGTCATGGTCATCTGACAGAGGACTGCGTCCACCTCAAGGACGCCATTGAAACCCTTATCAAGGGAGGGAGGCTCGCGCAGTACCGGCAAAACGACGCTCCTCGTCGTGACGCCCATGAAGCCAAGGAGCCAGAAGAAGACGCCCGACCATCAGACGAGTCGGTGCCTATCCAGACCGCCTTCTCGGTGACCAGGCCCGAGGACTTCGACATTCCCGAGCACCTGTAGGAACCGCTGACAACGCACAGCAGGTGGGAATACTTTCCCTCCGCCATGGTCATTAATGGGGGCGGGTTCAACGACCTCACCATCAATTCAGCTAAGAGGAAGTTGGACGAGTTGGTCGACACGGCTCCCCCGTAAACAGTAACATTCGAAAGGGTGAAGGGCAGGTCAGAGCCCATCACCTTCTACCTAGAAGAGCTCCCCGGCGGAGCCCCGAACGCGGTCATCCCCTTGCTGATAAGGGCAAGAATGGCCAATTTTGACGTGCATCGCATCCTGGTCGACGAAGGGAGTTCTGTCGACGTGATGTACAGCCAACTATTCCGAACCCTACAGCTGGACGACTCACATCTCTCTCCATATGTGGGGTCGGATCTACAAGGCTTCAACGGCTCGACTTCTAAACCTTGGGGTTATGTCGAGCTCCTGGTTATGTTCGGCGAGGGAACGGCTACAAGATAAGTTAAAGTCTGTTTCCTCGTCATTGACTGCCCGTCTCTGTACAACTGCATCTTGGGGAGACCGACACTGGCAGAACTAACAGCGGTGCCCTCGACCGTCCACCTGAAGATGAAGTTCTACACCAGGAGGGCACGGGTAGCCACCATCCAAGGAGACCTAGCCGCTGCCCGCAGGTGCTTCAACGCCGCTTCTAAGGGACGGGATACCGTCGACATAGGGACCAGACCCGCCAAAAGGACAAAATAGGAGCCCGACAGGAAAGCATCCCCCGAGGAAGAAGTCCAGAAAGCTCCACCAAAGGTCGATTCCATAGCTCTGGACACCCGCTTCGATCAGAACGAGCCATCCAGCAGCGAGCAAATCCCACTCCGACCAATACCGGACGGGGATTTTGAACTCGTTCCCCTCGGCACAGACCCGACCAAGGGAGTGAAGATTGGCAAAGACCTCCCCGACTTGGCCAGGAAGCAAATCAAGGCCTGTCTGCGCGAGAATGCTGATCTATTCGCCTGGAGCACTGCGGAGATGCCCAGACTCGACCCTGAGGTTGCCTGTCACCACCTCGCCATTGATCCAGCCGCTAGGGCCGTAGTACAACGTAGGCGTAGGCAGTCTCCAGAAAAAACAGAGGCTGCTGAAAAAGCTGTAAAAGACCTCCTAGAGGCAAATTTTATTTCTGAAGCCCGGTATTCCACCTGGCTGTCAAATGTTGTACTCGTGAAAAAGAATAATGGAAAATGGAGAATGTGCGTTGATTATACTGATCTCAACCGGGCTTGCCCGAAAGATGCTTTTCCCTTGCCTAACATAGATATGCTAGTCGACAACTCGGCCGGCTACAAAACTTTGTCGTTCATGGACGCCTACTCGGGCTATAACCAAATCCCGATGGCCCTGGGCGACAAACACTGCACGGCATTCATGACCAGCTCGGGCAACTATTACTACAACGTAATGCCCTTCGGACTAAAAAATGCCGGAGCAACTTACCAGCGCATGATGAACAGAGTTTTCAACAAACAGATCGGCGACATGCTCGAGGTATATATGGACGACATGATCGTCAAGTCCCGAGCAGACACCGACCACGCAGCTCATCTCAAGACAGTCTTTGCCCAAGCAAGACAGTGTAAAATGAGGTTCAACCCCGAGAAATGTACGTTCGGGGTTAAGGCAGGAAAATTCCTTGGATTCTACCTAACAGAACGGGGAATCGAAGCCAACCCCGACAAATGCCAGGAATTCTCCGACCTTCCAACACCGACGTCGAAGAAGTCGATGCAAATCATGAACGACATGCTCACGTCGCTGTCCCGCTTCGTCGCGAAATCCACTCAGCACGCCCTCCCCTTCTTCAAACTCCTTCGAAAGGAAGCAGCCTTCGAATGG